GTTGCAATCAAATGGAAGGAGCTGACACTGGGGAGCCCCAGCCCAGAGATGGGAAGAATATTCCATGTGCGGCCTAACCTGCGCCTCGTAAAGTTGCAGGTGGTGTGCCAGCATGAAATACTGTCCTTCTCTGCTCGTTAATTGCCAAGGTTTTGCTAATCTACTATGTGTATAATATGTAACACTATTGACTAGATCATAGATTGTTTTAGCGCTATCTAAGCGATCATACTTTTATAATTACTGCAGTTGTTGGCAAAGTAAATTAAGAAATTATTACTTCTAAATTGATATGTATATACAAAGTGCTTATTTAAATAAATGTTCAAAAATCGTTCGATAAATAAGTTCATGCAGGAATAAATTAAATAAGTCTGTGTAGCGTCGGCGTAAGAATACCTACAAGGCTCAGAAGGGCTAGAACCCAGAGCCTTAAAGCCAGTTAATAAAAAAAGAATACCTATACTACTTCATTATTGCCGCGGGGGTCGTAAGAGGCGACAGACGGAAACAAGAGATAGAACGTAGTCTCTTCCCAATAAATAAATAAATAAATAAGAAACTAGTTGCTAATACGCCTGCCAAGCGTGGCAACTATGGCAAACATTTCTTTTTTGAATAAGGGTGAAAAACGAGCACACAATCCATTTGATGGTAAGTGGATGCTGTCGTCCATAAATATCTATATTTTTACCCTCGATTAAGAATCAAAATGTAGACGCGTTGTTACAATGCCTCCTTACCAATAAAAAAGGTTTTCGGTTCTTCACAGCAGCATTAAGTGACTATTTTACGCTGGTATTCTTTGATAACCTGGTTCTTCCCCGGTCGCGCCGACCCATTCGTGCAGCAACCATAATATAGCTGCAATGTGGCACTTGAGGCAGTTGAGTCCAAGAGGGACTTGTTAGCAGTTAGTATGGACATAGCAAAGGCCTTTGATCGACATTGGCACAAAGCGCTTCTTTCAAAGCTTCTTTCTTATGTGTTTCCCGATAAATTGTGCAATTGGATCACCAGTCTCTGCAGTTTGGAGTAGATGGTGCATGCTCCAACTACAAGCCTTTAATGCTGGTGTTCCACAAGGTTGCGTGCTAACTCCTATGCTATTTCTTCTGTATATCAATGATATGTTGCAAAATATGTTTTTTACATCGGCCATGCTAATATTTCTCGGGAACACGTCGTCTAGTACCAGAACAAACTTGTGACTGAAGGAGTCTTTGTTAAAGAAAGTCTCGAATTGGGGATTACTAAATCAGTACAGTTTATCCCTCCCCCCCAAATACACAGATTTGGGCGTTTACCGCTAAAAACACCCCATTGTGATATGTCTTCAACTACAGCGCACTCCCCTCATTGCCTCAGCCCACAATCCTAGGCGTCAACATATCGACTGACGTTTAGTTCCGCAGTCACTTGGAAGGGAAGGCTACATTGGCCTCTAAAAAGCTTGGCGTGCTTTGTAGAGTGAGAGAGTATTTTATGCCAGCACACTGCCTGTAACTTTACAAGGCGCAGGTTCGGCCTCACATGGAATACTGTTCTCGTTTCTGGGCAGAGGCACTCCACTGCCAACTCCTTCAACTTGACCATATTCAGCAAAGTTATCGAAGAACGAATTCTTTCTGATTGGTTCGATTCACTGGCGCTGCAATCATATGCTTTTTCTGCCACATTTACCATTGGGAGTGCTTAGAGGAATTTGATCTTTATTAGTCTTCACATTTGTAGCTTCTCAAATTAATGCTGCCTAGCCCAACGAAATCTGAGTTGTTTCTAAATAACCACTTTCTGCTTAATTGTTACTTTCAGAACTTGCAATACTAAAGTGTCCTTAATATTTTAAATCCTTTAATCCTTAATAATATTTTAATCCTTAATATTTTAATTACTTAATATTTTATCAATTTATAATATAAAACTGAGATTTTTGTGGCAGTATTTAAATTATTATAATAAATTTGATAAGACTGAAATTGACTTTCATTTTCATAGTGCTTCCCCGCAGCATTGGCTATAACATAATTAAATTTTAAAGTCTTAGGCAGGTAGTCAAAGACAGTGTCTGGTTTACACTCAAATAATTGTTATTGTGATAAAAGAAATTAATATACCATGTTTTTTGTTTATATTCTTCAATTGTCATCCAATTCTGAAATATGTTTAAAATTTTTTAAGTTGTAAATGTTTAATATGTTTAAAGCCTTTAACTCATCCCGATGTTAGTTTAAAATTAATTATCAAATTCAACCCAAACAGGCATACATGAAAGTGAGTAAAAATGTGGTAACTTAACAATGTCAACATTTATGTAACCCAAAATGGTCTAGACTCAAATTTAGGCCTAGTCAAATTCAAGTTTAAATTCGAGACTACTTCTGTATACTGTCCTTTGACTACAATAAACATAGAGCACACTTGCCTTTTTGTTAGAAATTTTTCAAAATCCAAAGATAAGTATTTGTTGCATGTAAGTACACCAATAGAATTACTGAGAACTTTACATTCGAAACATCAATTTTCATGATACTAAAAATAAAATAAAATAGATAAACAAAATTCAGTCACTAAGTTTTTAAACTCATTCACTCTTGCCTTGAATACAGGCTTATTTAATTTTTTTTTATCTTACACATGCACACAAGGTGAAGGAAATGTCAGTTTGAAAGTACTTTTCTGATCTTGCAAGCATACTTTTTTATTACTTTTAATATATTTTTACTGTCAGCCAGTTTTATGTAATGTACTTGTTAAATTAAAAGGAAACTTATTTTAAATATTTGCTATTGAATGATCATATTTGCCATTGTTCATTGGGCATTTGACAATCTCAGTTTTTTTTTATTATTTTGAGTTTTGAGAAGCTGCTGCCCATATCCTATTGGCAGTGGCCCTCTGTTGTCTCTTACGACATCCACAGAATGATAAGGGGTAGTGGATTCTCTTATGCTATCACTATACAGCTTTTAGATATCAAAATGCTTAAAAGGTATGCTTGACCAAAATAATTAGATTAATGACTTTTTGCACAAATAAATTTTTATATGCAAAAATGAGTCGGTACTAAGTGGTTTATGAAACTAGCCTGAACCTTGAAAAAATCTATGTAATGATACCCGAATTCATGGGAAGTTGAAAATCTTTTTCCTAATATGATGTTATCAGAGGAGGTACAGGTCTATGTGAAAATATTTCTTTGAAATGGTAATTATAAGGGTTTCTAGTATGGAGTGGATCACTGAAAATATGAACATATTACTTTTTAATTTCATAATACACATAACAGGTGTATGTTAAAAAGTATATTATATTCAATAAAGAAACATGATAAAAATAAAGAAAAAAAAAAATTAAAATCTGAATTATGTCAAAATACTCTACCATAAGTAGTAGCTATCAGCTACAGCTATAGACAGAAACGATGTGGGTATGTACAGCAGATAAATAACTTTTGGGGGGTACTTTTAAAAGGCATAACAGGAAGTCATTGTATGTTGTATAAATTTGATAAAATTATAATAACTGGTACTATTCACGACAATGATGTCCAAGCTCCAGAGCACGTACTTACAATATAATGAGATCATCGATACAACAAATAAATTTATATATGACTCACCCGTTTATGTACTTGCTACAAAAAGACCGTGTAGGTTATCATTATCACAAAGCGTCATAGATAGCACAAATTTTAATTATTTATTCAAGACACCTATGTGAATATATAATATTATAATCATTCTTGAGGAAGAAAATTTTATTCATTTTGATCTTATTAGGCTACTAAAAATATTCCTTGTTTCTTGAGAATGGTGTAAAAAGAAATACACTTAAATATACATCTTGTTCTATTTTTTTTAATTGAATAAAATGACTGTAGACCATAGAATTAGTACTTTATATTTTAATTCTCCCATTTACGCACACAGTACTTTTTATAAAAGAAACATATACACGCCATTGATATTGAGTTTCCGCGAACCCACGAATAACCACGAATCTAACAGTACCCAGTACTGCCACCTATTGAGTAACAAGCGAGTCAGAATACAACAAGTAATGATTGGTAGTCGTCTAGAGCTTACATAATTGTCTTTGTCTTCAATGGTTTCAATTTCTATGTCTACTAACTAAATTCAAAATTATAACCAATCGCTGACTGTATTTCTATATTTATACTAATATCTCATTGGTCAAAAATATAACTGAGTTTACCTTTCATGTTTCCGTAGACAGAGAATCCTAGTCTACGTTTCTTTCATTCTTTTGACTTTGACATTTCTCTTTGCATTTTTGACATAAATATTAAGCTTGCTATGTGGTTCTTTTAAATTTGGTAATAATAGAATTATATTAAATGCTGTAATATTATCTATTGTTGCGTTTGTATAATAGTGCAGTATTTTTCATAGGGTACTGTAATTTTTAGAACTCAATTTGCGTAAATAAAAGTAAATAAAATTTATATTGAACGCTTTCACAATGTTACTACACTCAAGCAATGTACAACCCAAGAACAACCTTTGTGACAATGTCTGCATCTGTTGACTAAAATTTGAAACCTAATAAGCTTTTAACAAGGTCAACAGTTTTCATCAACTCATAGTCGACAAAAATAATCAGGATTTCGTTTAAGTTTCTAAAATAATGTTTTAGTTCAGTGTACACGTAATTTACAAGTCCAAGTGTCCGCGAAAATGTTCTTTACTTTGTTTTTCGCAATCACAACGTTACATGAACATGGATGACCTAAAATGCGAATACGTAAAGAAAAAAAGATGCTTTCGATTGTCTCAAGACAAATTAATTGAAAAACATAATAATGATTTATACATTATTTATCAAAAGTCAGACGTAATCTTATTATTACTTAGTGTTCACTAAATCTCTCGACACCAAAAGTGAAAATGTGATGTGTCAAACTGATTGTTTACCTCGCGGCGGACAGGTGAGCGGTTTGTATAAGTGGTACGTGAGGGCGGCGGGCGGCGGTCGGCATGTCGGTGTCGGATCGCTCGAGTCCCGTGAACGGCGGCTACGAGGCCGCGAGCTTGGAGCCTGCGATGAGGCTCACTGTCCGCAAAGACCTCTTCCCTGAGGAGTGTCTGTCGGATGTTACGCCTGTTATTTCCAGCGGTGAGATGTTGCAAGAAGGAGTCGAGGGCGTCTCTTGCGTAAAACTCGCAACGGACTTTGAGCAAAGCATTGATGACATTGCTAATCAAAAATTGCAAGTACACAATGGAGCTCTGCCGTCTCAAACACGTACTCGCCACAGAAAACACAAGCAGCACTCAAGACGTGATGCTGAACACTCGCCTATTAATGGTTGTCTTTCCACACCGAAGAAAAAAAAGAAAAAGTCCCTTCGTGAATACTATCAAAGGACTGCAAAAACAAATAGTATAGTACCCTCACAAGTGAAGAAAGGTGGCAAAAACTTATATTTAGTCAGTAGCAGTGAGTGTCAAAATGAAGCAGGTGATGATGAAGAAGAGTCCAATAAAAGTGAAAGTTCAGAGGATGAGGTCCTCAAGTGCAGTGTTAAGTTACCTATTATTAATTTACAACGACAAAGTGGTAAACCTTACAGTCATGAACTTAGTCAATTATCGACAAAAAAGAGTAAATCAAAAGAATCTTCTAAGAAGAGGACACATGTAGTGATGCCTTGTAGTGGTAAGCCACGTTCAATGCTAGGAATTTGTAGTTCACGCAGCAAGAAAAAGTCTAAGAAACTCGATTACACAGCCACATATCAAAGTCAGATAGTGGACACTAATACTAATATAAAGCTTAAGATCAGAAGAACAAGTGCACATGATATGGTATGTACATTGTTATTATTTAACTCGAATTTGATAATTTTTTAAGTTAAGCATAACAACCCGAACCTGGGAATTAAAATAAATGCTTTATTTTCTGTTGTTATTATCAATTACAATATATAAGCTGCTTAATAAGCTTATCGTTCAGTAATATTGCAGTCCAAAAGAAGTCCACATCTGAAAAGTCAGCTTAATCAATTAACTTCTCTATTCTAAGCAAGAGTTCATTCCATGGTGTAATCGTCTGTAGTTCACAAATGGAAAAGTTAGAAAAAATTACTTCATTGTTGACCTACTCAAATTATTTCAGTTATTCTCTTCTTGGTTAGAATTATGTAGGGAACTCTTATTAAATAAGTACATATTTGATCATTAGTATATTTATTCATACTGATGACTAAATTTCAAAAATACTTCTTTACTTACACACACACACAAATAATATTTAAAGTGATTTTTTAATAACTTAATTTGACAAAAAGAAATTAGGTTATCATCTGAGCAATTTTACCTTTAGGCTTATTCAAAACTATATGTCTGCAGTATACAAAATATTGGTTTTATTGAGAGTAAAAGTTTTACTTTAGTGAAACATTGTATCTGTGGTAATGTGGCAACCATTGTTGTTATAAGATTTTTGGAAAAAAAAGATATTATCAGGAAGTTTATTATATATTTGCGATGAATAGCAAACAATCTGCTTATTACAATTTCTTGTATTTTATCTTGTTACTCCATCCAAAATGAGTGCATCTGAGGATGGTCCTCGGGTTGACTATAGACATCTGGTACTTGATTTTAATAATGTCTAGGCAGATTGTGATAGTTAAGCTTGAACCTATTACACTGTTTTTAGATATCAGAAATGCATTTTGAATTAATTAGGATAAAAATAAACTTCACTATAAATTGCATATAATGAATATGTCAATTTTAAAAAGTTAATCACTCGGACCCAGGCAATCTATTTGTTGCTGAAGAAGGGACTCATATGCGACAAATTGAGTTGCAGTGGAGAGCAGTCAAGAAGCTTTTCAAAAAACAAAATTATAACAATTCACATTACATTGTTTCATTTACCACTATCATAACAGAGTTTAGGGCAACCTGACTTTATAGATAAGATTTGTTGAATCTCTTCTAAAACTGAAACAGCATGCCCCGACTCCACACAGTCTTATCTGCCCTACCCCTAGAGTCTTTATAAAGCCGTAGGCGCGAGGGAGAGCTGCCCCCACTCGCCTTAGCAAGTTGCAGGCACCAGTGCGAGCTGTAGTGGCTGAGGATGGTTGCCAAAGGTGACCAATAAGCCAAAGCTGCAGAGGTGAGCATAGGTGCCTGCAATTCACTATGCAAGAGCGAAGGGGCTGTACTTCCCCAGTAGTACTTTGCAGAAGTAACTTTAAGTGAATATTCGTGTTTAAAAAGTGAGGTAATGATTTTACAAAAAAATTCATTACTCGTAAATATGTTATATCGTATATATATATATATATATATATATATATATATATATATATATATATATATATATATATATATGTTCCATATATGCATATATACATGCACAGTAGTAAATGTCTCACAGTGATGCTGCTTGCAGTAGCCAGTGTGGGTATTTATTTCTATTCACAACTTTCTTAGTGTTGGTAAATTTGTGAAACATCAAAGTAGTGAAGTTTAAAAACTCTATATCTAGCACAGCCCCACCACGAAAGTAACACAAATGTAACAAGTAACAAAAAAGGTCAAAGGTGATTTATCACTCCTCGGTCCATTGCTGGATATATGCCTCACACAGGGAATTTTGCCATACGTGGTGTAATCAGCAGGCGATTTAGCAACCTCAGTTTTCTATTATTATTAAATGTTATCACTCATTTGATGATAAAAGGTAGTGGTTATTGTTGGTACGCAGCCACTTCAGCATTGTGCCAAGTAAAACAAACTTTGTTCATGCGTTCTAATCAATATGTTCTTAATAATTAATAAAGAATTTAACCAAAATAAAGTCCATATTCACAAACAACAAAAGTAATCAGAATAAAGTAAATACAGATATATGGATATGCCTACATGTAGTTATGTATATATGTTGCCTGCTTTTGTGAAATTTGATAAAGATAGGAGAGACCCATATGGAGACAGGATGAGGGACATCTGATACTGTAATTACCAAGCTGCTTGTCATGCATGATAATTATGAGTGCTGATAGTAATGTAGTAGAGACAGCTGATAAGTTGAAAATCTGAAAATAAAGATTTATAACAATATGCTGACCTCTTCCTCACACCAATTATGTTTGAACAAAATTCACACCATCATCATCACAAGTCTATTGCTGAACATAGGCTTCCCCCAACATAAGCACCAAAGCACAGTCCTGAGCCACCTGCATCCATCAACTTCCTGCATGTCTTAACAGGTCATCACTCCATCTATTGGGGGTCGCCCTACACTTTTTTTACTGGTATGAGGATCACTCGAGAATCTTTTTTCCTTATCGGTTGTCAGTTCTTCAAGCTATATGGCTGACCTATTGCCACTTCAGCTTACTAATCTGTTGGGCTATATCGGTCACTCTGTTTCTACTGTGGATATCCACATTTCGAAGTTTATCATGCGGAGAAACCCTGAACATAGCCTTCTCCGAAGCTTGCTGAACGACCTTGAACGTCCTCATACGGCCAGCACCATGCTTTGTGACATTTCTTGGGAGAGGCCTGTGTTCAGCAGTGGACTTGTGAAGGGTTGTAATGATAATGATGTATTTTTCAAATTATTGTAATGAACATTGTTTTTATTAAAAATATGCTATAATAACTAAGCATACATAAAAATTAATTTGAAGTTTCTGTCAGTAATATTGAAATAACTGTATTATATTAAGCTGTGATGGTGATTTACATGGCATTAAAGTGTCAACAACAATATTTTTTTAAATCTGTCTGTCTAGGCAAATCTTTTAAACGGCTGAACAAATTATAATGAAATTACACAAACCGACACAGAGCAATGCAAGTAGTGATCTTGGCCATATCTTATCCGAAAAACAAGAATTTTTTTGATAAAGAAAAAACGTAAAATACCTAAATGGTCTTTGATTATCTTAAATCCAAATAAACTCCACATTAGCAGATTCTTCCTAGGCGAAGCTGGCACTGAATGCTAGTGTGGAATAAAATATTCCACAAGAACTTTTTCATAATCAGTAAAAACCGTCTTCAAAGACTAAAAAAGGAGTAAACAATTTTCACATAATAGCTTTTGAAGTTGGTATAAAAATTAGTCTCAACTTATCATACAATATCTACAAAGGAGTATTTATTTTATATTTAGTTTTTAAATGAATAGGCATTGATATTAATTTAATAATATATTAGTCCATTCTAACACATTTCCCCAATGGTATCCATGAGAGCATTAAAGTTGAATCCATGAAGAAACGTTGGAATAAATGATATATCTGAATAATTCTACTTTACTGAAATAAACTTTTAAGTACTTTATTTTTAAGGTATTTAATGATTTAGCAAAACATATTAAAAAATTATAATTTTATGCAATACACAAAATAAAAATATTTTACACACAATTTTTTTTTCTTTAACTATCTTAATTCTCTAATTTGGGCTGCTTTTAATATTATGAAACTATAAATAAAAACTACTATTGTGATATATGTAATACTTATATATTATTACTAATGTACAAAGAAAATGTAGTTAGAGGTCAAATATTTTAAGTTTATAAAATTCTTTATTAGTTATTTTTTCAATGATTACTTTCCACAATTCACATACTAAATAGAACCTCACACAACTATATTTCATCAAGGTATGAGTCAATACATTATACTCACATGAGATTAAATGTGGAACCTTAACATGTTATGGATGTTTCTAAGCTGGATATAAGATATATTTAAAATGAAACAAATTTCAGGTTACTCCAACACCTATTTCAGTAGCTGACATAGGTCAGAGAAAATCCAAAAAGAAAAGATCCGCTACGCCTGAGGTAAGCGAAAGCTCTGGTGAGGAGTATGATCCATCTCGTGGAGACACCTCCGCTGCCATGAGCGTGGCCGCACCCAAGCCGCGTCAACCGCGGCCTAAGACACGAAAAGTTAACAGTAATAAAAGTAAGTAGTATTTAATTGTATGTCCCTTATACAAAAAAAAACTTATTAAAAATATAAATACAGTTAAGAAATGTATTACCCACCAAAATTAACTTGAGACCCGAGAGGAATGCACTCTCCCCTCTGCTTCTGACCCTCATGCCGTTTAACCCTCTAGCCATCGACGCGTTATTACTGGCGACAATTCAAAATCGAACTGGCAAATTTGGCTTAGATTTGCTTGTTATGATATTCTTTTTTATGTAATTGCTCTGTACTGGTTTTACAGTCTGTTCAATTGTGATAGATAAAGGTATTGCCAGTGATGGTTACTGAATTATCGGGAATACAATATTTTTTTAAATTAAAATAAGACCTTCTTAAATTAAAAATAAAATAATGAATACATTTTTCTATTTTCTTTAGCACCCAACTACCAAATAAATATGTATTTACTTGATGGTATTCAACAAACATTCCTTTTTTGCTATTAGTACGGCGCGCTTACGTTATCCGAGCAAACTCTCAAGTTAAATTAGATGGGTTGTATACTAGCATTTAATAAAGATTATACTAGAACCTTGGCTTGTGATAATGTGGTAGCCAAAAGATCATCTACTTAACGGAATTTCAGGAAAGTTTGATATCCATTATATTTACTATTTAAAATTCATTGTTGAATGTTGGCTTCTCCTAAACATAGGCTTCACCCATAAGGTATCTAGTAGTGAAATAATTACTGTAATAATTACTCCAAAAATAGCCATTTCTTAAATATCCACATTTGCTATAGAAAACAACATCTAAGGTGCTGGTTTCTAGATCTAATCTAATCAGCCTGCCAAAAATATATTGAGAAAACTTTTTACACGGGTGAAACTAATAACCAGGAATGGACTGCTAGAGACTTGTGACAACAAACACGAATGAAAACTTTTCTGACTATACAAAAATCTATTAAATGTAAATATGCCAATACTAGTCACAGATGTTTTCTTTTTTTTGGGAGATCATGTAGACCTTAATAACCTCACTAGTCCAATGCAGAATTGCGCATTTTACATATTTATTGTTTTATCATTTGAAATATACCTTATATTTATGTGGTAGAACCATGCTGCATTTATATTATGGTTGTAGCATGAATGGGTTGACTTGACCGGGGTAAGACCACACGCACTGAATACCAATGTAAAATAGCAGCTTATAGCTGCTGTGTTTCGTTTAGTGAGTGTAGAGAACAGGAGACACTTTTTACTGGAAATGGGGCATTCCACCTTAGGGTGGACAGGGGTGCCAACGCATTTGCATTTTGATTCTTAACCGAAGATAAATGTAGAAACGTCTTTGGGCCACAGCATCCACTTACTATCAGATGGACTGTGTCCTCATTTCACACCTTTATTCTATAAAAAAAGTTTGTTAAATGTATGTGTAGTGTATTTCAATTTCGTTTTGTTGACAGGTAAAAGTGAAAAGACTGACAAAAGTAGAGTTAGTGGAGATGGTAAAAAAAAAGATACTGGGCCACAAAGTCCCTGGGCTCATTCCATGCCTGAAGAGATTCTCTTTAAAATTTTTGATTATGTTGTGTCTTCACAGGGCACTTTACCCACTGTAATCAGGTAAGACAAGTGATACATTGTATTAATTAACAAATAATAATGGAATATTATTGATCAAACAAATTTTGTCCTTTAGGTTAAGTGGAGTATGCAAATTGTGGCACAGTGTGAGTTGTAGGCCAGAGTTATGGCGGAATGTAGATCTTGCACAATATACAAGTGAAAAGAACAGAACAGACTTCAAATTGGTGTGGCTTCTCGAAAATCGCTTAACGCTATGTCAAACTTTAAATATTGGTAAGAATAATAAATATTTTTTGCGCTTCTGGTTACGCATTTTCATAAGTGCTTTAAAACGGAACTCCATTAAAAGTAAACTTTGCTTGTAACTTTGTATATGCTGAAAGATTTGATGTTACAATAGATAGTTCTAAAGAAATTTGTTTCCAAAATCATAATAATATTTTGAGAAGTTTTTAAAAAAAATTGATGAGCCAAGATGAAATTGATAACAGAATTTTTCAAGTATACATGTGGCTGATACCTCCACTGCCCGAGGACTTATTATCTCAATTGTGTTAACACTAATTGCGACACTCCTTGGTATTATAAATTTAACCGTGTTTCGACAGTCATCTTATCTTGGTAGTATAAAAAAATAACAAAGTAATTAAGGCGGTTACTCACTTGCCTGCTGCAGGGGCAATCTAGGGTGTACAACGATTGGGGCAAAATTAGAACGGGGTCTACTCACATGCCTGCCGTTCAGTATGAGAGTGTACGTCTCGCTGGACACACGCGTTGATAATAGCTCCGGTTTTATCGAAATTTCAATGTATATAGCCTTGGCTCTTTTTTATCTATCTATATAAAATAGAAAAAATGTTTCTACATAATATCTCCGTTATAGACTTTAAAACCATCCTATTGCCCCAAACCCGTTTCATTAGAAAGGCAGTAATGCGAAGATGGTTTTAGGGCTCTAAAACAATACATTAGGCACTATATAAAAAAGTTTATAAATAAAAAAATCTTTTTTTTTCAATTAAAAAACAAAATGTATTTTTTGTTTTAGCTAGTAGCACACGCCGGGTATCCACTAGTATAGAATAAGGATGACAAACAAACACACAGTCCACCTGATGGTAAGTGGATACTGTGGCCTATAGAAACCAACATTTACCTAAAACTTCAAATTAGTTAATAATTACTAACAAAATACAGTGCTTATGAACTGCAGCGTGATTCTATCACTTTTAAAGTACGTTATCACGTTTAAAAACGTTGTCACGTTAAAAAAACGTTACCACGTTCAAATAAAGTTCATTCTGCAGTGCTACCACAAAAAACAGAAAAGGGAAATACTGGGTGAAGAAGCCGCCCTTAATACACTTCTGTCACTCGTGTCCAAATTTCATACTCTTAATTCATCAATCCATTGTGACTTGTACTCACACGTGTACTTAGTGCGAAAGTCACCAACGAGCATATTCAAATTGCCCCAATTGCGCTACACACGCGACAACGGCAGCTCCGATCTAGTGGGCAAGGAAAGTCTTGCGCCCGTAGCGCCCTGCCGCAGGGCCGACTTAGAAAATTGCCCCTGCTTGCATACACACAGCACAATTAAGGAAGCAATTAAGGGTCATCCCCACTCCTATAACCTAGATTGCCCCTGTAGCAGGCAAGTGAGTAGCCGCCTTTAGCAAATCATTTGTCGCAAGACAAACGTCATCATGTCAGCTGATTCGTCAATTTAAATAATGTTAAACACCGCGCTGTAATAAAATACTCCGTAAAGAAAAGCTGAAAATACAGAAAGACATTTTTGAAGACATGTCTTCCAGTCTTCAGGAATCTGCGCCTTCAAATATCATAGTCAAAAATAGGTTCGCTTATTTCAACAAGAGCTAGAGAGCTGTGAACATAAACTTACGAGTATTATACTACTGCATATGGACCGGGTCATGAACAAACAAAATGGCACCGACTCCTTGGTGCGAAAATGTTTATGGAGCACCGACCAATGCGTGCGTGCGTCCGTGCGTCCGTGCAGTGTTTCCACTTTTTGATATTTTACACTATTTTGGATAAATCTACTGATACAGGCAGGGATTTAGGCGTTTCTTCAAGTTACCAGAGTTTTGGATTATTTGGGGTAAAATCGAACCTCAGGTAACCCTGTTTTTTATCCCCACCCATTGTATTTTTTTTAAAGATTTATCGAAGTTTTTTATTCTATATATCGGAATAATGGTATAATATTTGAAATGAGAACGTCTTCTTCAACACAAAACTCAAGACTTAGTCGAGAAATGATATTCAAATCTTGCAATGTTGTTTTTCTTTAAAATATTGAAAATTAGTTGCAATAAATAAGGCTATTTTGATTTTTATTACGATAATTTAGGGAGTATTTCTACAGGTTTTAGGGTAAAACCAAAATTATAAGTGGAAACACTGGTTCCGTGGTAGTTTATGAATATTTAAGAGATGGCGGTGATTTAATTTAATGGCGCTATACATAATCCGTGAAAATTTTTTGTTCGCACGACCATATCTTGTCATTTATATCGATGGCTGTAAAGATGATCCCCGCTCAGGGCCCGAAAAATGTTTAAAAAATTGAAAAACTACCGAAGAATAAAATTTATGGCAGATAGCCGAAAAGTTGCAGAGTAGCAAAGAACGGGTTGGAGAAATTATACACAAGCATTTAAATATGAGAAAAATCAGTGCGCGCTGGGTACCAAAAATTTTGACGTCGTTCGATAAACAGCGACGACACGAGACTAGTAAGGACTTTTGGGAGTTAGTCAGAACAATCTAGACTGAATTTTAGTTAACCGCACGGTGCTATTTTCGCAAAACAATGCGCCTGTCTACACGGCACGGGTTTCGAAGCAGGCCCTGAAAAACAATTGTTTCTTGGAAATTGACCACCCACCCTACAGCTCCCAGCGACTATGTCTTTTTTTTAATTTGAAAAAGAACTTACGAGGTTGTAAATTTGTCTCTTTAAAAGACATCTTGAGCGCAAAGAAAAGAAATATTTTTGGCGGTTTGAAAGCGTTATCCGCCAGATGTGAAAAATGTATTTCGCTTGAGGGAGACTATATCTCTATATATAACAATCACTTGCAGTCCGTTAGTTTCGGTAAAACTCAACAATGGCATGATATTTTTTGTGTGTTTGAATGGGTCCCTAGATAGTTAAGATTCACATTTGGAACCGGTAGGTGGCGCTGTTGTCGAGATCCAGAAATCACCAGTGCGAAGCCGAGGCGGATAGCTCAAGGATAGCGAAGCGGATAGCTGAAAAATAAAAATAAATCACTCATACTTAACTTACATTTAATGCCTTAGGCCGCGGACTTATCAGCCGCCCCTCGTATAATATATAGTTTGCAAATATACGTTAGTTCAAATTTTCAACAGTATAAAATACTAAAGAAGAATAACATAAATGTTTGTTTTCAAAGCTTTGATAAGATATTACAATATGCATGGGTTTTACATAAGGTGTTACACGTTTGTAGATCATGAAGAAGTTCTGCCGGTCGGTTTCTGCAACTGCAATACTTTCAAATAAAATTGTATAATATGTTCAACTATGCTGGACAATCTATAACACGAAACGCACACACGTGTAACACGAAAGTATTAGTCTTTTTCAGAAATAATGATTTCGACTGGGACACACACCAAAGAACCGCGACTCAACAACATTTAAATTTAAAAAGCGCATTAAACCTGTGGTCATAGATATTTTGAAATATACTTGTATGTTTTTTGCAGCTCAATGGAAAGTGTGCAAAGTGTCGTGGGTGTTAGCATGTGTGATAAACTACTGCCCGGAACTGGTTGAGCTGAGCGTGGCTGGGTGGAGCAGAATTACGCCGGAACAGCTTTATGATCTCGTTCAGGGATTGCCGAAATTACAACGCCTTGATTTATCATTAACGGTAACATTACTTCATTTACTATATTTTTCCTAGATATGTTTTCCTTGCATTTCCATCATAAGCTATTTTTTTTCAACATTAGGGATCAAGGATACTAGTTTAAATATTGAAATTAATTTTCCCTTGACATATTTTTCTATAAAACTTTGCTATGTGGCTGCTGCAGTCCATGGACACCTAACAGGGCAGCCAACTTTAAACAAAGATGGCGGCAGATGCGTTGTCACTTCTGAGGACTAAGATGGATGGCGTCAAAATCAGTTAAATTATACTGGCTCTCTATACCCTTTAGTACACTGTTTGACGGCAGAAATAAGTAAGAGGGCGGCATCTACCAAGATGGACTCCAGTGTTATCTCTCTCTCTCTCTCTTTCTCTTTCTCTCTCTCTCTCTCTCTTTATGAATATAATTTATATATTTTCAAAACCAACCACTTACGGTTACTTAAATGGTTTTTTAACTTTTAAACACTGATGCAAATACTCTTGAATAGAAATGATATATTTAGTTTTTCCTAATTTACTCTTATGGTTTTAAAACTGAAGTGCAAAGTTTGTATGAAAGATATTGTATTATAACGCACTGCGTAAAATTTTTATCATAGGAGCACGAAATTGGAGTAATGGCTTCCTTTTATTTGTAGGAATTCACTAAAAAACGATTTTGGAAAATTCAAACCCAAAGAGGGTGAAATAGGGTTGTTACAGTTGAATGAAAATTTCTATTTTATGGGAAGATTGACTCGAAACATACCCCTTAGTACTTAAATTACTTAAATTATTTTTATGTAACTTTCAAAGTGATTTCTTGTAAACATCCTTATTAAGATTTGTTTACAACAAATGGCTATAAGGGCTAATAGGGGAATATGTATAAATTACACAGTGAAGTTAAAAAAAATAAAATAAAAATAAAAACATTATGACAAAGGTTAAGGAAAAATTGATAGATACTAGAAAAGTTGAAAAGTTGTTACAATTGTTAGAGTCTAAAGTAGCTTTGAGTAGATTTTTGAAGAAAAATGGGATGAATGTTGATTGTAACTGAACAGTAAATGTTTTATTGAAAAGGAGGGAGAATGAATATACTGGAATACGAAAAGAAATAATGTAAGAGCGGTTTTCGTTATTCGAAGGACTTTACTCTAACTAAAAAATTCCAACCATTATTATTCCAAAATATGAGAAAGTTTCCATGTGATAGCATCAATATTAGGTAATCTTATAATAACCGTGGGTTGACTGTCTGGATGTTACAACTTAGACGCGGGTAACACCGCGGTGCGAAAAGATACTATTTCATATAATAATATATATTTTATCCTGTTAGTGGCAGCATATGGTACAAAAAAAAAACATGTGTGCAGCTCACACGCGACGGAAGTGAAACCTTCAAATGAAATGAAATATAAAATACAAATACTTTAAATGAATTATTTAATATTATAATTTAAACTACAAGTTCGACATAAAATATAAGAAAATTTAATTTTATAGTAAATAAATGTAACAATGCTTTTAATATCCTATACTATTAAACGAGCAATTCTTGTATATATATATATATATATATATATATATATATATACAAGAAACGACTCCAACGATTTTCATAAAATTTAGTGTCCAGGGAGTTTCGGGGATGATAAATCGATCTAGCTAGGATTTATTTTTAGAAAATGTCTTTTTGTCCGTGTTTTTAGGCACTGAAAAACTGCTACAATATCGTTAGAATAAGTAGGTAAATTTTGACAGATTGTTAATGATTATATATATCTTAATTGGTATAATGGGCGGTCACAGAATCGTAAAACCCCGGTTCGAGCCCAGACCGACCGACCAACTTTTTTTAATTTTTTTTTCAAGTTCCTTTCTTTTTTGAGAAAATCTATTTTTTCGAGCCCTTTTTTTTAGTATTTTTTTAAAAACACGAAAATTTAAATTAAACTAATTGCACTCATGATTTTTTATTCAAATAACCAGTTCTGTTTTTTCTATTATGTCGCTAAGATCAAAAAAATATTATTCATATTTCATCAGTATGTAATTTGTATCTAAATATAATTTCCAAAACACACGAATTAAAAAAAACCGAGCGAAAAATACCGAGCAAAGCTCGGTCAACCGTGTACTATATATATATATATATTATATCACAATGTTGATTCTACGTCCTTTCATTTCGCATTATTGTAGCATCCACCACTTGTAGACAATTTTTATACATTATGACAGCGAATATTGGTCCATTAAAAATATAACAATACATACAAATAAAAATAAGTGAAAGTTATATATAAAATATCATATAATAGATTAAATGAAAAGAGTACGAGAAAGGTAAAGTAATTTATCTAATAGGGTTCTAAATAATACGATTTAACAAGACTTTTGAAAGAGGGAAGAGATTTAGCACGACGAATATGGAGAGGTAAGGAGTTCCATAATCGCACAGCTGTTACGGTGAAGGATTTCTTGAAAAAGGAAGAAGAGTGCAAAGGTGTAGAGAGAGAAAGATTGACGGAGTATAGAAGGAACCGATTATGGGTAAGAGAAAGATACTGGAAACGGTTTTTTAAATAAAGAGGAGTAGAAGGATTAAACAGCACACAACGCAGAGAGAATGTGAGTATTCCTGCGAAGGCGGATCGGGAGCCATTTGAGCTGTTTGCGAAATTCGGAGATATGATCATATTTGCGAAGCCCAAATATAAATCTAATGCATAAATTTTGAATGCGCTCAAGCTTATTAAGCTGCTCCTCGGTAATGTCAAGATTGCAAATATCAGCGTAGTCAAGGATAGGCAGAAGTAGAGACTGGGCGAGCGTAACTTTAGTTGCTGTGGGAAGGAAATTACGTAATCTACGTAAAGAGCTTAACGCAGCAAACGTTTTTCAACTGACCTCATTAACCTGTGAGGTCTAAGACATACGGGAGTCAAGATACAACCCTGGTTTTTAACCTTTTTACTGTAAGGGATTAGAGTGCAGTCTAGTATAATAGAGAGTAGGGAAGACCAGTCAATTTTACCAATTAATCTAGAACTACCGATAACAATGACCTTAGTTTTCTTAGGATTAATCGTTAAACCATAACATTTACTCCAATTCGAAATACAAGTCAGATCAGCGTTAATAGTGTCAACTGCTTTAGATAGATCTTCAAGAGAGGACTGAGTATAGATTTGGAGATCATCAGCATACAAGTGGTAGGAAGAGGACAAATTATGACTTATAGAGTTAATGAAAATTGCAAAAAGGAGAGGAGACAACACGCCACCTTGTGGTACACCAGCAGTTGTAGTAGTCCAGGTGGAAAAAACCTCTTGCACCTGAATTCGCTGTCGACGACCAAACAAGTAACTTCGAAACCAGTCAACTACAGTTGGAGATATGTTGAGAGAGCATAGGATGCTTAACAAGATATCAAAATCTACAGTATTAAATGCGTTACTAAAATCAAGCAACGTGAGAATGGTAAGCTTTTGTTTCTCCGTACCATACCGAATATCATCAGTGATTTGTAAAAGTGCAGTAGTCATACTATGACCAGGACAGAAACCAGATTGCAAGGGATTTAAAAGATTGTGTTTTAAAAGATAGGTGCTTAATTGATTGTGCACAAGACGTTCTAGAACTTTGGAAAAGAAAGGCAAAATAGAGATAGGTCTATAATCATAAAAACTAGAGGGATTTGACTTTTTCGGAAGAGGAACTACAAATGCGTCTTTTCAAGCTGAAGGGAAAAAAGCAGAATTCAGTGAATTATTCAGGATAGACGTGATTATAGGTAAAAGGAGATCAATGAGAGGGATGACCATTTTCCGACTAATGCAGTCACTACCAATCGAATTTGAATGGATGGACATTATGGCTCTCTTAACATCACAACTGTTAAATTGGCTAAAATTAAAAGCAGAGGTGTACGGAGTGGGAGCTTTTGAAAGAGAATCCAAAGCATTATGTTTTGCTTTATCGTTAATGCAAGACGAAGACGAGAATTGCAAATTAAGTTGATTGAGATCAAAGTTATGGTGTGTGAGATTTTGTCGTAATTTCCCAACTCCTAAGGACTTAAGAAATTTCCAGACCCTAGCAGGGTCAGGATCTTGTACTGATTCATGGATATGGCGTCGTTGTGCTTTTCTACACAGATTGTTGCAACGATTCCGTACTAATCTATACTTCTCTCTATTCAAATCGCTAAGAAGTGACTTGTATTTAGCTTTGGCACAATTTTTAATGTGGATGATTTTTTTATATCATCGGTCAGCCAAGGAGAGGGAGGATGCTTTACACGCACTGGACGAACAGGAGCATGAACGTCATAACGCTGAATTAACAGAGAGTTGAACAAAGCAATCTGTTCATCAACAGTAGACGCATTGATGACTACACTCCAATCAATCTTTATAGCGTCATTTAAAAGCTGCTCTAAATCCAAGTCACTAAAGTTACGCTGAAGTAGTATCCTTGACTTAGCTTTAGGGGGACGGATTTTGTATGACAAGTATAAAAGGTCGTGATAGGAAAGAGAATCAGCAGCATGTTGCCCAAATTTAAGAACATGGTTAGGTAAATGACACAAACATTATGTCGAGAAGAGAAGGGGCACAGTTCGGGAAAAAGTGTGTGGCAGAAGTAGGAAGAATTTTTAAATTTGCTGCTTCAATAATAAATTTAAGTTTTATTGATCTAACGTTGTTTTTTAAAAAACAAGTATTAAAATCACCCATAATAATACTGTGACAATAGATAGGTGTAAGGTTGTCAAGAATATTTTCTAACGTGGTGAAGTAGTCGACAGTGAGAGAGGGACTGTAAAAGACTCCGAGAAGTAATTTTGTATGACCAAGAAAAACTTCGATAAAGAGAAATTCAGCTTCGCTTCCAGTCTGCGAACCATTTGAAACTTGAATTACTGAAAAAGGTATATGAGAGCGCAGATAAATAGCAACACCAGCACCGCCCCGATCGGTACGGTCGTTACGAATCAAATGAAAACCTGGAAGCAAGTAGGAAGTTGGACATGGTTTAATTTTTTTGAATTTATGTGTCTTTCTCTTTTAACTGTCGCTTTTTCGTTTCATATACTTTCAAATCATAACGATGTTATAGAAGTTTTCACTTCAATAATTATTTTTTGTTGTATCCATATGCATTTAATTAAAAGCTATATTTTACAACCTCTCATCAAGGTCATAACAGCACAATAAATCAAGACATTTTACCTGGGATCAATAATATTTATTGTTTTATTTAATGAAAGTCCTGGTTTATGCCTCGGATAGCAGCCGGTATAGCAAGAGCTTTTATCATAATAAATGTATTTTTCTGTTTTTGAAATTAAATATTCTTTAGAATCATGGCGATTATAAACTCAATGAAACGAAAAAGCGACATAAAAAATAAACATATATAAATATCTATAGGATTTAGCCTGCCAGAGAATGAGATAGAATACAGTGTAGTAAGCGACATAAATATCTATAGGATTTAGCCTGCCAGAGAATGACACAAAACAGCATAGTAAGCGACAGTCAATAGTGGTTAAATGGAATATTAGTAATATTAATAGCATTGCTAGTATGTAAAATACAGTGTTTCCTATTATCTCCGTCTCCTCTTGTGCGTTAGTTTATAGATGGTTAATATAAAGGATGGATAATACTTAAACCTCTCAACCCCCTAGCGGTCTCATGAGACTGCGGCCATATTCCGTCAAATCTCTAGCGGTCTCATGAGGTCGCACCCACCCACAGCACTTTAATCCATAAAGTCTTATATGTAGAGACTACTTTTCTTAAGAGTTTGGCATTATACTAATCAATATGAAATACTTTATCCTCTAGTACAATCAAAAAACTGTTATCCTATGAATATTTATTTATAATCTACGTAAGTATAAAATTGTAATGAAAGTTTTTTTGTGAATATAATTTATCTTTTTACGTAAATAATTTCGAGAAATATATATTAGAATAATTATGATTTTCACGCTGTCGACATTCGCTTGATATGTTTTTTTTTTTGTTATAAAAATACAATAAAATATTTTTGTAATGAAGTAAAACCTGACTTTTGTTTAGACCACAAGATAGAGAATTTTGTATAGATTTTATAATGCTAAACTTTTTCGTAGGAAAGTATTCCCTAAATATAAGTTTTAATGGTTTTAAGTGCTGTTCGCATGCGACCACTCGGGATTTGCCGGCCGCATGCGATTGCATGGGATTTTTATGGTGCTCGAAGGGTTAAACTGTTAAATAAACAGTAAAAAAAATTAGACGAAAGTGATGGTTTTTGAAAGAGAAGAAAGAAAAACGGTATGTGAAATAAGAATAGAAGGAGAGTTAATTGAGAAAGTGGATGAGTTTGTGTATTTGGGATGTGTATTTAGGATGTGTATTTAGCAGGGATGGTAGATATGATAGGGATATAGAACGACGAGTAAATGCAGGGAATAGAGTGAATGGGGCACTACACTCTATTATGAAGAACCAGAATGTGTCCAAAAAGGCACGTATGGTAATTCATAATGCTGTGTTAGTACCTACTTTAATGTATAGTCGTGAAAGCTGGGTGTGGCAGAAGAAGCACGAAAGTAGAATAAATGCTGTAGAAATGCGGTCTTTAAGGAGTATGCTAGGGTTGAATCTGAATGACAGGGTGAGAAATTGCGTGATAAGAGATAAATGTGGTATGCAAGATGATGTTGTGACCAGGATTAAGAAAGGAATGCTTCGGTGGTTTGGTCATCTAGAAAGAATGAATGAGGAAAGAGTGACAAAGCAAATTTATATGGCAGATGTGAACGGCCGAGTCGGGAAGGGACGCCCTAGAAAAAAGTTTATCGACCAAATTGGCGATATTTTGAAAAGGGGCCACGTTAGAAGTACCCTTAACCGACGAGCATGTATGCGTAGATATATGGATGTAAAGGAGGCGAAAGAGGTATGTCAGGATCGTGCCAAATGGAAGTCCATAGTCTCTGCCTACCCCTCTGGGTGACAGGCGTGAGTGTTTATATAGTATATATTATTAAAAAAAAAATAATAAATTTATTAAATAAATAAAGTTAACTATATTGAATAAAATTATCTTATCCAATCCGTTCATAACAATCCACGATTTCATAATTTCAGGCCATCTAACGTTTATTTTACGTACGACCTATAGAATGAAGAAGATGGCGCTATTACAAAACAATTTTACTAAGAAGAAAATATTCTTTTGATTTATTACGCTAGGCCTGTATAAAATAATCAATTATTATTCTATTAGACCTTTATCGAAATTGTGCCGCATTATTAACATTTTTGTGTTATGACGAAATAAAATCTACATTCTCGTAATATAGATATTAAAATCATTCAAGAGAAATATATGCCATGATCGGCTTCCCCATTATATCGTCCCGTGGATATCGTAAGAAGCGACAGAGAGAAACTGTAACAGGGGATGAGAAGCGGTATCTTTCTGATTTAACAATAAAATATTTAAAAAAAAAACTGCGGTTACCGCCACGCCTGCCAAGCGTGGCGACTATGGCAGATATCACCCTGTGAGTCCATCTATAGGCAGGTCTTTGTTCAGCAGTGGACGTTAATCGCAAAACCTAGGCTGGCGGTGGAGTAAACATCCAAATCTCAGTAATATAAGGACAACTTAACCCATTACGATGGCGACGAACATTTATAAATTGGGTTCCTTTTATCTATTAGTGTACTAGACTGGTAGTAAAGATTATGTATTTATCGCCTAGTAAATTATAAAAAAAAATCTCAATAAATATAAAATATCTTTGATATGTTTGTTTGCAGTCTGAAACAGGCGGATCGAGCACGTGCCTGTCCGCGACCTCGATAGCTCGGGTGGCGGAGAACTTTGGCGAACGACTCACTCATCTCACCTTGGCCAATAACAAGTTCACGGCGCTACCTCAGATTCTTTCTTCTGTTGCTGTGAGTATAATTTGTTTTCATAATAAAATAACACTGTGCGAACCATTAATAACTTTTAAATAGGTAGTTGTGGAATCATAGTATTCATTTTAAATTTTGATGCTTCATAAAAATATTTAAATAAATATAACATATACTTCTTGGTAGAGAAGGCTTTGTTCCTTATATCTATACTTTTTTAAATATTTTAGAATAAAAAAAACATGCGTGCAGCTCACACGCGACAGAAGTGAAACCTTCGAATGATATGAAATATAAATACAAATACTTTAAATGATTTATTTAATATTATAATTTAAACTACAAGTTCGACATAAAATATAAGAAAATATAATTTTATAGTAAATAAATGTAACAATCCTTTTAATATATATATATTAGACACAGATATTATTATATAATTGATACAAATCTTTTCGTACTCACTAGTTACAAAAAGATTTGTATCAATTTTACCTATTACGAAGTTGAGGTTTGGCCGTTCTTCACTGCTTGTTTAATCCATAGCAGAGAATAAATAATATGTAGTACTACGTATGCATACGCACACGACACCTTCGCACCACAGTTCGTACCTTGTTGAACAAAACGCGTAAGCGACGCCGTTTCGGCGGCGTTTACGACTTTTTTCTCGCGAACATTGAGCTATAATCTATAATGCTTCCTATCTCATTTTCTCCTACGTTAAATGTTATGAAGTGTGTCTGCCACACAAGAACTGTATTTGAAACTAACCACACCAATGACTTTGTCGAAATTCAATTCTTAGTTTTAAATAAAGAGAAGAAAACATGTGTTAAATGCAATACAATAAAAAACGTTGAAGGTCATGTAATTGTTTAGATTAATAAAAGGAAAAAATTGCTAAAGTTAATGACACACATAAACTCTCCTGCCTGTCATCTAGTGGGGTAGGCAGAGATTACAAGCTACCCCTTGATACGACCCTGATATACCTGTCTTGCATCTTGCTCAACCATGTACCTCATATATGCTGGTCGGTCTAGGGTAGTCTAAATTTAGCCTATCTTCAGTATATCGCTAATTTGGTTGATAAACATTCGTGTAGGATCTCCCATGACGACTCGGCCACTCAATTCTGCAGCATAAACTTGTTCATCTCTCTTTCCTCATTCATTCTTTCTACATGTCCAAACTACCGGAGCATTCCTTTTTAATCCTAGTCATCATCATCAGTACAGCATCTTGCAACCCACACTTCCGTTATCACACAATTCTTCAAAGTCACACCTAACATACTTCTTTTATATCGCATTTTTCCAGTATTTAACTCTAATGCTTTTTCTGCAATATTCAACTTTCACTACAATAAATAAACGTACAGACTGTATTGCATTATATACGTGCTTTATTAAAACATTCCGATAGTTAATACGTAAACACTCACGCCTGTCACCCAAAGGGGTAGGCAGAGACTACATACTTACATTTGGCATGATCCTGACATACCTCGCCTCCTCCACATCCATATACCTAAGTATACATGCTCGTCGGTTAAGGGTACTTATTTTCAATATATCGCCAATTTGGTCGATAAAGTTTCGCCTAGGATGTCCATTTCCTACTCTTCCATTCACTTCTGCAACATAAATTTGCTTTGTCACTCTTACCTAATTCATTATTTCTACATGATCAAACCACCGAAGCATTCCTTTCTTAATGCTGGTCACAATTTCTCACCCTGTCACTCAGATTCAGCCCTAGCATACTCCATAGCGACCGCATTTCTACTGCATTTATTCTACTCTCGTGCTTCTTCTCAAAATTTTATCTTTGCAGTGAACACTTTTTTTTGAATCGTTGTGATTTTAAACTTGATGAAACGAAAAAGTGACTCTAAAATGAGATAAACACCATATACATCTATAGTATTTAGCCTCCGAGAGAATGAGATAGAATTTTATATTATAAATTAGTAGTGTTTAGTCCACCTGCCGTCTATTTTACGTACCAACTTGTGTCTAATAAATTTTTTGATAAAATGACTTTACCGATAGAATAAAGTAAATGGCGCTATTACAAAGCAATTTTACTTGGAAGAAAATATTATTTTGATTTATTACACTTAATTTAGACTTTAGATATCTAAAAATAAGAATTCTAACATTTATTTGATACAAAATTAAACTTTTATTTTATATTTTATGCCGCGCTCGTGGTTGAAAATTATCATATTAAATAAATCATTTGCTGTGACATATTTTTCATTTCATTTGAAGGTTTTACTTCTACTGCGTGTGATTTGCACCCTTTTGTTATTTGTTCTATTCTATACTACAATTTAACCTAAAGTTTAGAATTAAATAAAACTCTTTTCTTTTGGCGAAGTGTTGAGAGAAACGCCGACTATCGTTTGTACGGAACTTGACAACTGCTTCACCTACAACCCCGATTGTCGTTTGTACCGAACTTTTTAACATGCAAGGTTTTAGTATTTATGTAAAACCCATCCCGTTTTAAATAAATTAATTCTGGTGTTAACTAAAAAACATATTAATTTATTGTTTATCTATTTATCACAGTGTTTCCACTTGAATAGTGCAAACATCAATATAAAAAATAATACATCGATTTGTTTCATCTTTTAAAGGTTTATCTTACATTTATAATCCAATAAATGAATTTTAAGGAATCTTCTTGAAAAATGCAAAACTTAATTGGTTTATTAAATTGTCTGTAGTCACACTGTCCAAATCTGGAGGTGTTGGACATATCGGGAGCGATGGCCACCACGCACCCAGCTGCAGTGCCTCTAGAGGCCTTGCAGAAAGGCTGCCCCAAGATGCGTGTCTTCAGAGCCGCCAACTCACAACTGGTACTTGCATCTGCCACCACATCTCAGCAGGTATGAATAATTCTTATTAGTTTATAGTAAATTAATGGTTTTTTCATTTTGTGACATAATATTAAGAAATACAACGATATAAAGAAACGGCCCCTAGTCTCCGACGGCCGTGCTATTCCTGACCACGATGGCGATCATTGTAACGGCGAGGCAGTCGGTGCTTAGGATCTCTGTTGGAGGTTTGATTACCAACTTGGACGACTCAACTTGTCATTATTTAACGGACCCACCATGACGTCCGACAAGAAGATCTTGGAGCGAAAAAAGGGGCAAATTACGCTGGGGTAATATCTTCCCCTCCCTTGGGACCTCATATAATCTATATGAGGTCCCAAGGGAGGGGAAGGCACGGAATCCGGCAACTTCTTCTATCATTGTCTACAAGTCTCTTATCAGCAACGTTGTAAAGACTGGTAGTGTGTCGACAATAGTTGTGTAAGCGAACTATCCCGGTTTGACCCCTGCTGCCTAGAAATTGTTTATAGCAATTTAAAATATATATATATAGCGGTAAAATACATCTTACGGAACACTGCATAACAAAGATAAAACAAAATATGTCGAGGAATCATGAAGTTCGCCAACAAGTACTGTAGCAGCGCGGCGTACTAATAAACATAACCTTCTCAAAAATGAGGGGAGGCCTGTACCGAGCAGTTGGACGTGTATAGGTTGAAACGTTGAGCTAATTACCTTTTATGCAAGATGCAGTAAAAGTTATGGAGTATGTATAGCCTTTGTAACATAACTTAAAATTCTAGTCTTTTTAGAGAACTCTAAAAAAAACATTAATACGCCAAACGATAAAAAGAGTAAAAAAACAACGCAAGCTGTCAACAGACTCCACCTGGGTGAAGTCTATTAATGTGGCGCTATTTAGAATTAAAGTTAAAGACCATTTATCTTATCTTATCAATATTTCTATTTTATAAAATTCAGTCTAAATCACTACTGATATTACTCTCTCTACATACAGCTCTATTTGTTTTTGAGGTTTTATTACAATCCATTCAGCCATTACAAATATTACCTTGGACAGACAAACAAACGAAAATTTTAAAAATAGTTACTCGCATCTCAATGCCATTATAAATATTGTTGCGCGCTACAGTTGATTGCACTAGCGCCATCTGGTATCAAGTATCAGAAACAGGAGTATCAAGATCTTTCTGGAACTATCCACCAACAGAGCCATCTAGTATCGAACAGAAGAATTAAGTTTTCTAGAAGGGTCCACTCTCGAACTTTCTGAACTTAGTCGGTCGGGCGCCCGTATTTGCTGGAATATTCTGGATGTTTCGGTGGAAGTGCCCTATATAAAGACGTTGATAGCCGCGATCGGGGCAGTGTTGAATTTGGCGATACAAGCGAAGCTTCGGAGCGAAATAAAGTGAATCAGTGTGATTAATTTAGTGTTTTTTAAGTTTTAATTGGTGTTCGGTAATAAAAGTGTAAATTTTGGTAATTCAATCGGCAGTTTTTATTATCACGAACTCAAGCTCGTAACAATATTTTATACGAAAATATTAACAAACAAAATCAGCAATAATAATGAAGAAAACTCTCAGAACGCATCCTAGCTCACAAATTAACAAGACCGGACTGAATTTTGTTTTGTAGTTTATGGAATTTTGTTATCATTGATTCCAAATGACAAGTTAGACTGTAGTTATGGAACGTATGAGAAACGCATATCGCAAGGTTTTTTTTGCAGTATTTACGGGCACCTGTGTACCGCAACTAGCACCTGTCTATCTCTGTCAAGCGAGACAGCAATAATTCAACAGACTTTTTAACTCCGTTTAAATCGTATTTGCCCGTAGCCTCCGTCGGACTTTTAAGGCAATCCTTAAACTTTTTTTACTATTCTTGGTGGTCCATGCCCCATGCAGCAGGGATTAAAAAAGTTCCGAATATACCTGTAAAATCAGTTCTAGTATCAGAACGAACACTGAAACCGAAACGTGAATGAGAACAGTTTTTTGTCCCTTTGATGACCAAAACAACTATCTTGTCTGATTTTATAGTGTCATTTTCGAAATGATAATTTTGTTAAAAAAGTCATCACGCATCAGAGCAAAGAAGTGAAACAATTTGCTGACGTTCGATTTTCGGTCTGATTACAATCGGTGCGTTTTCAAGGCAAGACTATAAGGCTTTTATTAAGCTATATACCGAAAATAAGTTATAAATTTCTTTTCAATCACTAATAATATCATAATCACTAATAATATAAAAATAAAAACAAAGTAAAACCTAACTGTTACAAAATTTAGTACCAGCAGTCTCTACTGCGCAGACATCGCCTGTACGAATAGCCCGTCTCTAAGGAGTATTTTGCTATCGCGGCAGCTTATTTTTCTTTCTCGTAATGCTGCTTCTTGAAATCTGCTGCTAGAACTAGTTCGCTTCCCCCTCCCTCTCCCTTACTCCATTTTAAACAATCTTAAATTCAAAATATAAAGCTTCAAAATAACTCGCAATGTCTCCCACACTCTTTTTATAAATTCGTAAATAAAATCTAATAGCTCTTACTGAATACTGCATTACAAATTTAAAATAAATTAATTTTTTGCCTTCCTTGAAACCAGTGGTTTGGTTTCACTTATAGAACGTAAATTCAATGAAAAATAACAACTTTTTTTAAGTAAAATCTCAATTTTTCCTTAATTCCCCAATTTTTGCCTGTCCTAAGCCAGGATGAAAGTATGAAGGAAAAGTTACATCACAGGTTATGGGTAACTATTGTGTTTCTATTGGAATGTTGTGTAGGTAGCTAGAGCGGGCGATGATCTTTACAGTGATTACGTCACTCGGGCGCATTGGGTATCCATGAATTTACGAACGGTGTCGGACAGAAACTTTTTAAATTTTATGAAAGAAAATAGCGGTTTCTTTTTTAAAATTCGGATAAATATTTTTATATTAAAGCCTATCTACCTATGGTTTTAGTGACAACGGTGTTTACACTTACACCTTGTATAACTCTTTTATTTAAATTCTTATAATTATAGGAATATCCGAAAATCGATTTATTAGTTTTTAATCTAATCAATATAAAATATAACTAATATTTCAAAAAAAAAAACATTAATTTCTAACATATTAACTTCCCCCCGCTATGAAATCTGTCATATATTTTACCCGACTCCTAAGTGGCGCCACTCGGCTTACAGAAAAATTCGTGGATGTTGATCGTTTTATTAGTGTCCGTCGGGTCTTGGTTGCGCAGATGGAGGTGGAGGGGTGGACGTGCCTGGAGGAGCTGTCGATCGCGGGCGAGCCTGGGGCGGAGCGCGTGGGTGTGGGCGAGTACCGGCTGGGCGACGAGGCGCTGGGGCGACTGGTGCGCGGCGCCACGCGCCTGCGCCTGCTCGACCTGCGCGGTCTGCAGCGCCTCACTGACTCCGGCATCGTGCGCGTGCCCGCCTGGGACCTGCAACACCTCTTCCTCGGAGGTACACACGCACGCATGCACACTAACACACACACACACACACACACACACACACCAACAAACACGCGCACGCACGCACGCGCACGCACACACACACACACACACACACACACACACACACCACACGCACACGCACGCACCAGCGCCTGCTCGACCTGCGCGGTCTGCAACGCCTCATCGACTCTGTCATCGTACGCGTGCCGCCTGGGACCTGCAACACCTCTTCCTCGGAAGTACGCACGCAGCAGCACACACACACACACGCACGAGACGCACCAGCGCCTGCTCGACCTGCGCGGTCTGCAGCGCCTCATCGACTCTGTCATCGTACGCGTGCCCGCCTGGGACCTGCAACACCTCTTCCTCGGAAGTACGCACGCACGCATGCACACCAACACACACACACACGTATACATGCATGCACGCATGCACACTAACACACACACACGTATACATGCATGCACGCATACACACTAACACACACACATGCGCGCACCCGCGCCTGCTCAACCTGCGCGGCCTGCAGCGCCTCACCGACTCTGTCATCGTACGCGTGCTCGCCTGGGACCTGCAACACCTCTTCCTCGGAAGTACGCACGCAAGCATGCACACACACACACACACCCGCACCCGCGCCTGCTCGACCTGCGCGGCCTGCAGCGCCTCACCGACTCTGTCATCGTGCGCGTGCCCGCCTGGGGCCTGCAGAACATCTTCGTCGGAAGTACGCACGCATGCATGCACCACACGTACACATGCATGCACGCATACACACTAACACATACACACACGCACCCGCGCCTGCACGACCTGCGCGGCCTGCAGCACCTCACCGACTCCGGCATCGTGCGCGTGCTCGCCTGGGACCTGCAGCACCTCTTCCTTGGAGGTACGCATGCACACACGCCCGCATGAGCGCATGCGCGTGTGTGCATGCGTACTAGTACTAGTACTGTCCCCTTGTCTCTGATTTCACATCAAGGCACGGGAAATAAGAACTTAGTAGAAGTTAAGTTAATTTTTTGTGGTTATAGGGTCCAACATAATTCGCAAGAGCAGTGCGTGCCTGGAGCTGATATGCGAAAAGTGGTCCCATAGCCTGCTGGAGCTGGATTTGTCGTGGGCATCAGCCACACGCGTACTTAACGATGCCGTTGCCACTCTAGCGGACTCACCCCACAGCAAGCTCAGGTAAAATACCACTATCCCGAATTTTGGTTATTGCGGCCAGTCTCAGTGGAGACGAACCATCTGCGCAGGACAGGATTATAGTAACCAAACTCTCATAATGCGATGGGACAGCAAGCCGACACGACCAGTTCATAACTCCGGGCTGCTACTGAGAATTTTTCGATAGTAAAACTCAATAAACTGGCACCTCATGATAAGCAGTCGCGTTTGTGACCGCTAGGCCGAGCCAGTCGTAGATTCTTGCAGACCGCCCCATCCGTAATTAGTGCATTACTGTTTCTTCCACAGTAGGGGAGGGTGTTCACAGATCATCTGACATGTCTTGCATCGTTGACACTGCTTCCCATCGCCGGTTTGAGTATTGTGCATCTTGTATTAATATTAAATTTCAATTGGTAATACTACCATCTATCGGAGACTACTAGATATTTTGGGCACTTTTTCTGTCGTCTCTTAAGCTATGCAATAAGATAAGGAGATGGATTTTCATATGCCGATACCACATGACAGCTGTAGTCCTTTTGAATCCCACTGATATAAATTTTGTAGACCTCTCAAACACTAACTGTTAGGCATAACTGTAGATATACCCGTATAACGCGCACCATTTTTAATTATCGTTTCTATCTTATGCATTAACTGTTTCCTCTATCGACTGTTACGATAGTTCCAGAACTCGCAAAAGATTATAGGCATTGTACAATTAACTTAGAGTAGGTAGCACGAATAATCGTACCGAAAAATGTATTTGGAAGTTATATTATCATTCAACTTCAATTAATGGCTGCGTTTGGCAGAAAAAAGCGCTAGCAAGCGCTTGTAAGCAAAATGACGATCGTAAGCGGTAAGCGCTGTCAAATCGTAAATAGCTATTATCCTCTAGGACACGAAGTTAGCTCTAACCGGGAACGTAACCTAATTTAAATATATGTTTGTAAAGTATTCATATTAAAAACTTACCAATCATGAATTTTTAATAACATGTATAATATGTTTATTCATGTCATTATATTACTTGAAACCAATATTGCACAAAACAACTTATAAACTACTTCAAAGCAAACACATTAAATAAGCAAAATGGCGGATTGAGTCATCGCTAGCAGTGTTCAAAGTTGCTATATGGCAATCACTTGCTTAATGCTATATGCTTTATATTTTAAGCAAGCTATTTTATATGATTTATTATAAGCATGCTTTTTATAAGCATACTGCGACTGCGACGTCTGCGACTGCGTACGTGCGACCGTGCGTAGGTATAGGTAGGTACCTACTTTTACGGGCGCCAAACGGGCGGGAGCGACTTTAGGGAGCAACCGCGGTGCATCGCGTTTATGAATTTATTACGATACGGAACAGTAAAAAAACAATGAACTTTCCTCCATACTTTTCAGGCTTAGGACTGTCTATAATTAATTAAGTGTTATGATGAAATAAAGTATATTAGTATTTAATTAAAGCAATTATAGGCGTACTTAAAAGTTCATTGATTGTATTTACAAAAATCGACTATATACATATATGTACATATTTTAAATTTTTTTCTTTTTTTATTTACACTATTTACTTTAAGTTTTTTTACACTATTTACTTTAAGTTTTTATTTACACTATTTATTTTAAGTTTTTATTTACATGAAGAAACATTATCTGTGCTACTCTTGTAGTAGACAATCGTGTTCTTCGATCACTAATAAGATACCCCGACTTGGAAAATATACGTTCGCAAGGAACCGAAGTCACCATGATATTGCAATGTTTTATAAATAAGGTATACAATTCGGGGTAAATGAATTTATGCTCTCGCCAGTATTTAAAGGGACATTCTATTCTCTTAATTAAATTGTCCGCTAAATATTTTTCCAACTCTTCGGAAGCCTGGACATCTGAGGGTTTAGGTTGAAACTCTTTGTTGGCTTCGCTGTCAAATCCACACCACAAACTGTATGTTGGCATGTCGCATCCGAAAATTTGGGACGGAACAGAATTTACATTTGATGTCGATGGTACAGGTTGAACTTGTTCTGAATTGGTTGATTGCTGGTTTTTTTTTATTTATTTCGTTTGTAATTTTCATTTTCAATATATTTTTAAGGTCTTCAATACGTGCTGTGTCTTTTAATTTAAATCTAGGGTCCAAAACTGTGCTCAAACTTATTAAATCATTTTTTTTCTAAACTTCCCAATCGTTTTGTCATACCCTCTTAACTTTATGGCAAGTTTTTTTACAGGTGGGTATAATTCTTGCAACATGGTGTAATTGGCGCATATGTTTATGAGGCTTGAAGTTAAAATAATCGCCTTACTGGCGACAAAATAATTTTCAGCCCTCATTTCGACAGTGGCTTCGTAAAATGGTTTCAGTATGACACAAATTTGTTCAATACATTTCCACTCTTCCATTGGTATTATTGGAATATCGGTTCCTAAATTAGGAATGGTGGCACGCAACGCTTCTCCTATCTCAACGAACCTTTCCAGCATTAGGTACACAGAGTTCCATCGTGTTGGAACCGATTTTATTACAGATTTTGGTTGGTTTATGTTCTGTTGGTTTGATTGGTATTTTAATAATTTTTCTTTTGATATAGTGCTTTTTCTGAAGTGGTTTACAACTCTTTGCACTTTCTCTATTGTGTCTTTTATTTCGGCAAGTGCATCTTGAACGACGAGGTTAAGTTTATGGGCATAACATCCAAAATGAACCCAGCCATTAAGTTCAAAATATCTTGCGGCACTCTCCATGTTGGAGGCATTATCAGTGACAAAAAAGTTGACTTTGTCGTAAATGCCCCAGTTTTCGAATAAACTTTTCAGTTCCCTATATAATTTTATGCCTGTGCCCTTCTGATTCGCCACATTGAATTAGTACCGATTTTAATTCTATGGGGTCTTCTGTCATAAAGTGCGCTGTTATACCCATATAACTATCCATAGTGCGGGAAGTCCAATAATCAATGGTAATGCACACTGATTTTGCATTCATCTGGACGAATGATTTGAGTTCTTCTAGCCTCTTCTCATAAACTTTTGGCAGAAGATTCACTGATAAAGTTTTTCGGTCCGGTATTTCATAACTCGGATTCAGAGTATGCGTGTACGCACGAAAACCTACGTCATTTACTATTGAAAAGGGCTGAAAATCGTATACGATCATTTTTAAAAGGTTTAAATCTATTTTGTTATTTTCGTCTGGTTTGAGCTTTTTTGGAATATACGCTTGCATAGTTCTCTGAATTTTTTTAGGAGGTTCATCACAATTAATACGCCTCCCCATCTCTCCACCACCACTGCATGCAGCGTTCCTCTTCCTATTCCCATCACCAACATTTTCCACATGCAAACCTTCGACTTCAGACAAGGGAATGTTACTCACTGTTTCAGGTGCTGCTGACTCGAGGGTTTTGCCAAAATTAATTAAATTATTGTACACCGAAATGTGTTTTTGTTGTAAATGTTTTTTTAAATTTGTAACACTCGTTTTAAACGACAACTCTCTACGACAGTAATTACATGTAGCAGTTTTACGGCCATCAATGGGCTTTTCAAAAAAGTCCCATATTGGCAAATCACTGTTCCTTCTAGACATTTTCGTCTGTTATTATACCTACACTCAAAACAACAACAATGTTATATATATATATTGTATAAATATTAAGGTGTCCTATCACTGTTTATTTACACTAAAAAGCACGAAGTAAAATAATATTTACGTATATTATATTACGTGAGCCGCCCGAGATCGCGGATTAGCAAAATCGCAAGCGGTGCGTAAAACGATTACTTACTCACTTACGCGACCGAAAGCAATCTCTATCTCTAGCATGCGGCGACTGGCGATGTAAAAAAGCATTAAGCAAATAGCATGAAGTGAGAGCCACGATAGCATTTGCTATTTGTTGTGTATGAAAAACATGGTGCTTTATTTTGCTATATGATATATTAATCACCACTAGTCAGCGCTACTGAAGTTAGCAAACGTGTCCTGGCCGAAAACTGTTTACTTTCGCCATTTTACTTACAAGCGCTTGCTAGTGCTTTTTTTCTGCCAAACGCAGCCAATGTATTATCATTCCTAATTAAACATTATAACTTCCAAATTTAAAACGATATTTTCACGATTATTTCTGCAGCGACAGCAAAGCGCCGGGTATCAGCTAGTAGATTATAAAAAATATTTATTGTATGTAATTTTTAAGTTTAATTTACCATTATAACTTTAAGTTTTCTTTAGGTACAACATTGAAACATAGGATTATAACATGAAACAAAAAAATAGTTAAATCCATTTATTTGGAAATGCTAGCGCACCGATTTGCTTATATATTTTTATTTAAGGTTTAGCACAATTTTCAGAGCTAACAACTATAGTAGTACTAGTTTGCACAGATAAATTTTTGTTTAATCAATTACACGGTATTTGTGTACATTGTACTCTATGATGCCTGCACCAAACACTGATTACTCACAACATCAAGCAGACCTAAAAATATTTTTCATAGAATACCAGCTCAAAATAGCAACATAATGCTGCTGTGTTTCGTATGGTGAGCTTAGAGAATCGGAGACCTTTATTTACTGGAAACGAGGCATTCCATCTTAGCCTTCACGGGTGACAACGCTTTTTGATTCTTAATCGAGGATAACATATATCCTGCGATGTCTATGGGCCACAGCATCCACTTACCACAGGTGAATTGTGTGCTCGTTTGTCTGAAAGGTCAGCGCTCATGTATCTGCTGCTTGCAACATAATTCTACTTTTTTATGATATACTAGCTGTTTCCCGCGTCTTCGTTCTCGTAGTCTTTGTTTACGATTGGATTACATGGGTTTCAGTTTTTTTGCGCGGAACCCTAATTCTATTTCTAAAATAAAAATAGATTAAATTCCGTTAAAATCGGTCCGGCCATATCGGAGATTAGCCGGCAAAAACAGACAGACATAAATTTAAAAATTGCTTTTTGATATACGTGCCGTATTGATTATTTTTATATGCATTTTTAGTAAAAAGCTGTTATTTTGACATTACAAACAGACGCTTCAAAGAATCATGCCCACTTTCCATACATTTATTGACCTGTCACTTGATTCTTTTAACGGGTCGCGTCTACCTACAAATTCTGCTGTATAAAAACAATTATTGTTTATAATAACATTATAACTTATCATCTTTTCATTTAGAGGCCAGGGAAAAATGCTATTAAGTAAATAATTTATTGAGGTTATAACAGCTGTCAGATAAGTTCTGTACACTTATTTTTCTTTCCATATCATAGTACAAAACCATAAAAAATCCTATCTAATCACAAATTAATAAGTTATAAAAAAGCAAGCAAAGTTATTTTGAACATTAATAAACCACATGACGAATGAACAAATTTTTCTTAGTCTGAAATGCAACGTGTAAAACACGTTTTTATTATATTTTGGCATGGCTTCTGGGCCTTTGAGCCATTGTAAAACACGTTCCGTCTCAAAGAATGTAAAAAATAGTAATATTACTTTTTTTCCTGGCTTTATTTGAAAATTCAATTATACAATACGAAATAAGCAAAAAATATGCAATTTTATAGGATATTTTACATCACTAGACGCATTAGAAAATTTTCAGGTCAAGACTGGACATGCTTCTTTATTTATTTGTATCGATTCAATACCAGCAACTGCAATGTTACTTACATACTGAAATCATAAAAATATTTGTTGTTTCAGAATACTCAATTTATGTGGATCTGCAGTATTTTTGGAACAAGTGAAAAAGGTCTTACTCAAGTGTCCACACTTAGAATCATTAAACCTCAGCTCCTGTCGAGCCCTACCGAGGGGTATGAAACGTCTGTTCACTGGAAAGGAGCTACAGGATCTTAAAGATAGTTTAGATCCTGAAAAGGCGAAACCCAAAGAAGACTCTGACGATGATGATGAAAGCACAAGTGTGAACATAACAAAGAAAGAGGCTGATTCAAAATCTGGCAATACGCCTAAAGCATCCCCAAAGAATAATATATCTGATAATACTGGTGCCAAAGTTAAAGGGAAATCCTCAGAAAAGTCTTCCCCATGTGTATTCCAAGAACCTAAAAGCGTCTCTGATACTAGTGCTACTCCCGAAAGTCAGGGATCGCAATCTTCCATTATTACTAAGACAGTTGAATCTACGAAAGACATTTCAGAGACTGTAACATCCTTAGCAAATAATAAAAGTTCCAGAACACCGACTTCAAACTTATCAAGCCCACTTGCTCAATCAAAACCGGATTCTTCTTCCACTCCGAGGTCAGAATCAGTCAAAAATGATCTTGGCAGTCCTCATTTTAGCCCCGTCCGAAAACCCGACAGTCAAGTGCCTAATAGTCCTGATGTACTTCCCGAATTAGCTAAAAGCAATAACTCGTGGAATTTAGGACAATTTAAAACTACACCCACCCATAAATCAGAAGCAAGTCCACTAAATAGATTAGAGAGCCATAATACAAGTAAATTAAAACATAGTAAAATTGTTGAACAATGCAGCCCCACTACTTCATTAGAGAACAAACCTAGTCCAGAAACTCACTGTTTAAAACCTGATATAAAGAATCCGAGCAGTTGGAATTATTCCGGTGGTTATAGTCCCATGACTAGACAGGATCAATTCTCCTCACAGAGAAGTCCTTACTCTGCCCAGCCAAGTCCAGCACAACCCAGCCCATACTCTACCCAGCCTAGTCCGTACTCCACCCAACCTAGTCCATACTCCTCCCAACCTAGTCCCTATTCTGCACAACCAAGTCCAGATACAAGTCAAATGGTTAAACCAGATATCCAAAAAGCAAGCGCTTGGAATACAGGCAACTTCAGTCCTATGCCAAAACAACACACGCCTTTTTCACCCCACCCTTCCACGCACCCAAGTCCTGACCCAGGTCTTGGTGTGAAGAGTGATGCTTTCCGTAATAATTGCAGTAAAACGCCCGGACAATACAGCCCTATGTCGAGACAAGACAGGCTGCACCACAGCCCATATTCACCTAGGCCGAGCGTTGAAAATGTATATAGTAACAAAAAGAGCCCAGGTGTAGGGAAATACAGTCCAATGATGCGTCCCGAATGCCATTTGCCTAGTCCAGACGGCGGGCATACGTCGAGACCTATTGTAAGCGGAAGAACTCAAGATATATACGGACGATCGGTTTCAAAAATGTCAGAAATGGTCCAAAATATCCCACCGCCCGAAGTGCCCAATTCTTGGGGATTCAGCCAAGTAAATAACACCTCGACAAGCGGTATAGAGTCCCTCGTATGGGGCGGATCGTCATTTAACACGGAGCCGACGTTGCCGCCGCGTGTAGATAACATTCCCTCGATGCTAAACACGCCGTCGCCTCAAACGTGGAATGACCTACCTCCTTTGATAGTGCTATTCGAAGACCTAACGAGTTAAGTGACCCATGGACATTAGGCGAGTTCCGCGTGGAGCCGCCGCAACAAGCGCACAATTCTTTCGTTGACCAGAATGTGAACTTTGACGCGTTGAGTGCTCACATCGGCCAGTCGCACGTGCTGCAAAGCTATTTGGACGACAGCTACTCGGAAGCGTCCCGTGTGGACTGACGCCCAAGCGCGCCCCTATCATTTTATCGCTCGAATGGATTCATACATTTGGTTAAAGTTGTCGTGACATGTTTGTTTTAAAACTTCTTTATGCTGGAGAGTTGGCGTGTTGTAATTAAAACAGATTTGAACAATTATCTTTAGATTGTACATAAGATTATCTATATTTAAGAGTAACGAAGCTAGAATGCATTCAAATTATTTTGCAGCTCATAGTCAATGAGAAATACAATCCAATTATTAATATATGTAATAAATAGGTAAATTCTTCAATGAAGGTAGATAAAGAATTAAATGTCAATCATTTTTATGCCTGAACGTAGGAAAACACGATGCGGTTCTTTAAATTTTTAGCTTACTTGTACTACCTACTGGTGTCTTTCTGCGACACGGCCAGATAAAAGTGGCCGGGAAATTATGGAATGTCAAATTAAATATGCAAAAAAGAAGCCACCTCGTGTGTTCCTATTGAAATACAACTTTTTATTTACTTTAGATGATGTATTGTTGAAATATGTTGTATTGATTGAAAATTAATTATAAAAGTCTCATACTATCAGAAATAAATATACTGAATTCTTCATTCTTGAATTACAAACATTCCTTTTAAATATTTATGTATTGTTTCAATATATTTCACCAGTGGCATAATGTGGTTTTCAGAATGAAGTTTTATTTTATTATGGTGAAAATTCATAAAGAGCATTGCTAGATGCTTTCGATATTGTAAACATTGTATTTAAATTGTTGACAATGCGTTAGTATAGCTCATAAATATTAGATTAATCTGAGCTACTTTTGAGCAGCTACTAATAATATTAAGTAGAATCAAAAAATTCACAATTAACTTAATGTCAATGGACTGGTGACTACATTTTGGCCTTACTGTAGTTTGACCACGATGTGAACATTTCCTTAGATAAGCAGTAACAGAGTACCAAGCTGTTGTGACTAGTCTATTAGATAATTATTAGTTTGTTGTTTTTATTGCAATTAGTGTTCAACTTTCTACTTGGTCATTCTACATTCTAGTATTACAATGTCTGCTTAGAACCTTGACTACTACCACTACCATTTTTACACTTTAACACAAAGTACATTATCCATTAAAGCAGTTTAAGTTAACGTGTGATAACTGTATTATAATTTGACCGCATTTTTATTATATTGTACCTTATTTATATTTTCAGCCAAATCACTAGGAAGTTGTGCTTCATGATAGTTTATTTTTATGTTATTGCTTTAAACTCGCAAGTCTTAATGAATTATTCCAAATTCTGATCATTAAAATTTTAATCATGAAAGCCAAGTACAAAGTGCTTTGTATAAATTTATATTTTATTACATAAGCACTCCATGTTGTATTGAAAGACTTCCGTAAGAACCACCAAATATTGTTTCCAATACTTACATTAGCCTTATTAAATGCCTAATGTTTTACTGAAGAGAATATTTTATAGTTTTATTAACTTATTACAAAATGAAGAAATTATCTACTATACATAGAATGTATAAAATATAAATCTAGGTAAATATTAATGTTAATTAATCGTGTACCATAGTATGTATAAAATAAAGTTGACTAATATGTGTAAGTTCTGTTATGTAGAGATTTTTGTTTGTAATATTGTTACACTACTGCGTGGACTTCTTACAAGTGGTCCAATTTTTATAATCTAACCAATAAAATATCGATGTGGTTGTATATTTACATTTTTGAATAGAATGTAATCTATTTATTAAACTTCTTTCGTTAAAACTATCCCATCTTCTCCAGATGCGAATCACCAATACCTCAATACAGTCTTAATTATTGGACTTCATTGAAACAAATATAAATAGATAAAATAATTTACTACCGCAACAAGTATACTTAATAGTTTTATTAACAGTTAACATAAGAAATATACATCACAAACAACATTCATAAGCTTTTATACATAACACGAGCCAGAAGAAAAAACATTTTGTAATTCATTCATTCTTACCCAGAGTTCACCAAAATCTTAAAATAAAGGATGTCCGCGAAAGAATTTTCTATTATAATATTAAATAAAAAAAATATTGCGATGTTTGTTGAAATTATTTTTAATGCTTAATAAAATACAGACATGCGGATTTATTTAAAAAAAATAGACGTTAAATGTTTTCCGCGGAGACGAACGCCATAATTTAGACGACATGTTTGTAAACACTGGCAAGTTTCTTGCGAAATTCTTGACACTTCGTTATTAATATTTCTTAACAGCTGCAATAAATTCCGCGGTTTATTATCAACAATAAAATTTTGATTTAAGGAATCCCCACAAAAAGGTCCGCAGGTGTCGGGTCTGGTGACCTGGGCGGCCAGGGGATGTCATCAAATCGACTAATGACTTTTTCTAAGAAAATACGCCTCACAATGTTCATTGATATGCAGGAAGTATGTAGTGTAGCACCATCTTGCCGAAACCACGTGGATTCGTTTATACACTCACTGTGCTCCAATTGTGGTTCTAAAAAATTCTCCAGCATAGATGGATAAGTTTGGGAATTTACTATTATTGTTGGGCGAGTCTCGTTCTCAAAAAAATAAAGCTCGATTATTCCTTTTGCACTTATTCCACACCAAACAGTTACTTTTTCCGGGTGCAATGGCTTTTCATGCAGTTCCTCCGGATTTGCAAAAGCCCAATAACGACAGTTTTACTTATTTACTAATCCGTCTAATAAAAAATGCACTTCATCAGAAAAGATTATGTTCTTATAGGCTCGTGGACTATTAAATCTTTCAAGCATGATCTTGGCGTACGATAACTTCAATCCACGATCACTTGGTTTAATTTTTTGAGTAATCTGAATTTTATAGGGATGAAACTCCAAATCTTTTTTGATAATTTTGTGTACAGTTATTTTTTTAAGTTTAAAAATACAGAACGCTTTCTAAGCGAGAGACGAGGACATAGAATACTATAATATATAATATAGTATTCTATGGACGAGGATTTGCAATCACATCACCCCTACCGCTCCAATCGTTTCATAATTTCTTACTGTTCGCATTGCACCTGGCCCATGTCATTACAGGTCCTTGTTCACGAAAACTTCACACCTAATTGCCGATTTGCGTACTCGGACAATCCCGTATTCGCCGAATATTGAACTGTTTTGCAAACGTCCGACGCGTCGCAATGGGAGAATCGTTATTTTAAAAAATGCCTCTAGCATGCGCGCGGTGTTCCGCCGACTACCGATCCATGGCTACTAAAATCCGCACGACGGTTGCATAATGAACACTTTCCCGCGCTTCCGACACTGCGCGCGTTTTTAATTCAAATTTAAAGTTGATAATTCTTTCGCGGACAACCTTTATATATACAGTATGTTCATCAAACTGTGTGACGTCTTTCACCAACGTTGACATTATGAGAAAACTAAAAGTAGCTAGGCGAGTTATGGAGTGATCTTTGTTTAGCGTTTCTCTGTGCGATAGAATCCATGATGAAAATACAGTATAGCCAGAGTAACCGACATGAGCGGCGGCTGATAAGTCCGCGGCCAATGTCATTGAATTAAAGAAGAGTATGAGTATTTTATTTATATTTTTCAATGTCAAAAAAATATTCCTTCATTTTACTGTCATCGACAAGTCTTCGATCTCGTAATTCCTTTTTCAGTTTGGAATAAATATAAATAGTCGCTGGGAGACAGTTGTGAAACTTTAGGATGGGTGAACTGTTTCCTGCCTCGAAACCCGAGCCGCGAACGCTAACTTCCCACGTTACTTCAGTAGGACTGTCTCTTGCCTGAGCCAATAAATTTGCGTTATATTGACCTATTTGCGTTATAGTAGTCGCCTTTGGCAGTTAATTAATCAGCAAAACATCTTCGCGGTCATCAAAAAAATATGTCTTTGATGCCAACTTTTGAACATTGAATTTTTGAAAAACCCATGAAATATATTGTAATAAATTCCACGCGGACGAAGGCGCGGGAACAGCTAGTCAGATATAAAACAGAATTTACCGTAGCAGACTGCGGTCATCTTAAGTGCGAGATTAAATATGAAGTAATATTATTTAAAAAAAAACCACTTGTTAGATGCGATTGAACCTTACACCTATAACATACTTTACATTCATGGTCTGCTTTATAATTATTTTCGGAACTGTTACTGTGCAACACGTAACATTTAACTCCAGGTACAAATTGTGGTAATTGGCCTAACAGAAACAGAAACTTTTTATTCAATATAGATTATAAACAATACTTATTGAAAGTCACTTTACCACTGGTTCGCAAAAAACACCTCTGTCCTGGGAAGAACCTGCCAGAAACCCATCGGAACTTTTTTTTTCAAATTATAACTTTAGTACAATCATGTATGCTACAATTAGCAACACAAAACATAAATAGCTTGGTTAGCAATTGGTTAGCGATCACCCTCGGGGTTATTATCATCCGTAAATTCCTTAATATTATAAACACCCTTTTTATACAAACTTAGTTGAATAAAGTTTTTGAACTTTGTGTATGTCAAATTTTGTATATTTTCTGGAATTTTGTTGCAAAAGCGGAAACATCGCCTCAAGAATGAATTACTGACTCGGTGGAGTAGAGTAACTGGAACTACTAGCTTGTGTCTGTTCCTAGTATTTACAGAATGAATATCACTTATTTTTGCAAAACTACTTTTATTTTTGTGTACGTACATTACATTTTATAAATGTACTGAGAGGCTAGAGTTAATATATTAATTTTCTTAAATTTTTGTCTATGCGACTCTTTTGGTTTTAATCATATATTACTCTAATGGCCTTCTTCTGTAGAACCAATATAATTTCAGTGTCA